TTTCTATGAAATCTTTCCCACTTGAAAAGTTTTCATTGTGACACAATTTTGATAATATTTATGCCTGAAATGGTAAACCACTACACATGGATAGATTTTGCTTACTTGGGTTTTATTGCCCTGTTCTTTTGACTCTATATCATTTGTAAGTTCCAATGTTTTCTTAAAAATCTAGTATGCAGTCATAATCATTTTTTCCCCCGATGTGTCCAATAAAAGAAGTACTATACATGGCATTCTTGTAGAATTGAAGTGTTTCTTGCTATTGTATTGCTTTCTGTTCTGTCAACTCAGATACTTGGAGATTCATGGGTTTTGGTGGAGTTTATATAGAAACAGGGCTCTGCATTTATTAACTGTTGCCATAAACACCTCCCAGCCAGTTTTGTGCTTTGTTAATGTGGACAGTAAAAATAATCTTGTGTCTTATGTAATTCTGATTTTACTATTAACAGTATTTCAAAGAAAATATTATATATTCTGCAACAGCCTGCTAGAATTTCTTTTAATCTTGCCAGTTTCTTTATTTACACTAGGCACAGAGCAGCTCTGTTCTTTATCTTTGGTAGCCTGCTAATAGGAGCTAGTTTTGGAGCCTGCTGGGGAAAATATCAGTAGTACTGTTTCTTGTCATTTTAGTACAAATGTATCACTAGTTCTCTGTATGCTTCTTATTGAAATAAAATGTAACAGAAGTGACCTTTAAAAAAAATTGTGTAGATTGAGCAGTAGAAGTGGTTGAGTTTAGTAATGCTTTTGGCACTGTCTGCCATAACATCATGATAGCTGCTGGAACAAGTGCAGTACAGAGCCAGAAAGTTGGTTAAGGTACTGAAGCACCTTTCATGTGAGAAGGGTCGGAGAGAGCTGGGACACAACTGAAACACATCAAATTTTGTCTCAAACAAGAAGATAGTTTTTACTGTGAGGATGGTCAAATACTGGAACGGGTTGCCTGGGGAGGTTGTGGAGTCTCCATCCTTAGAGATACTCAAAACCCAACTGGAGACAATGCTTGGCAGCCTGCGCTAGCTGACCCTGCTTCCGCAGATGAGGTTGGAGTAGATGATTTAAAGAGATCTTTTCCAACCTAAATGATTCTGTGCTTTAGGATTAAATGCCCGTGTTAAACTTCCACTAGTTACTAGAATTTAATGTCCATAAATCTGTGCCTTTTCTTTCTCTTGTAAGGATGGTGCTGTTGTACAGTAGTATTTTGAGAAGTATTTGAGACTTGAATAGATCTGAATGATTGTGTGCATTTAGAAATTATTTTTAAAGTTTTTTTTTTAAAAAAAACACCAAAACTTTTTTTTAAGGGTACGTATCTTTGACGTTAGATGGGATACTGTGCATTGACTGAATAGTTTTATGAAAAATTTAGTTGTTAAACTTAGCTTTGATTCCTGTGCATGTGTTTAACTTAAAGTGCGCAACTTAATACTGTGCATATTTGAGGAGTTGAGGATTTCCTTGTCTATAGGCTTCTGTGTTGCTCTTGTAAAATGGGAGGTACAGAGTCCTGTATTGTAAGATCCAGAATTCCTTTTTTTTTTTTTGATATATCCAGTAACTGAGTTGTACTGCTTTTAGAAATGCTGAAGAATTAATGCAGAGATCCCACATCAGTTATGAGAATTTTAAGAGGTTTTTTCAATATACTTTCAAAGCAATAAGTTAAGCTCTTGCAGATCTCTATATAGCGTATCAGTTAATAATTATATTAAGTTCCAAAAGCTTAATGTGTTTTCTAAAACTGTAAAAAATGAGAAGCTAATAGTGTGGATATTGTTTCAGTGGGAGCATAGGAACAGCACTGAACAGAAGATATTTATCTTATATAAGGCTTGTGAGCATAATTTACGAAGTTTATTATTCATGTCACAAAGCAACAGCTGAAATCTTGATTGTCAGCACATGTAAAATTTTATGGAAATGCATTCTGTTCTTTCTTCATGCACTTGTAATCAGTGAGGATGCCCAGATTATTCTGTTTCAAATTGTTAAAATCTCTGTTCATCACCTTTATTGTTATGGAAAGTATGATGGAAAAGAAACAGGCATAAGTTTTCTGCCTGCCCCACATCTTCCTTATAACTGGCATAATTTTGCAGAACTTTTTTCCACACATTTTAATTTCTTCTTTTGAAGGTGAGACAGACTTGAACACATGAGGAAAACTAATTATAAAAAAATCCCTTTAAGTTGCTTTACCAAAATTTTAAGGAATCAAATTGGGATATACATTATTGAATCTTTAAAATTTTTTATTGTGATTCATTATACGCTATTGTTAACAGTCACTGCTTCAAACGTGGACATATGCTGCCTTCCTGGAAGCAGAGGTTGGAACTCTAAGCAAAAGCTTTCAGATACTGTATAATTTAGTGGGAAACTGTTTTAAATAGTCAGTCCACAATGATGTTTGAAAGTAATGTCATATCAATGGGTGTTAAATTAGTTTGCTTATAATTAGTTTGTTATAATTGGTTTGATTTTTTTTCCTTTTTCCCATTTGCCCTTCCAGTTGCTCTTCCACAATTAAAACAAACTACACTATGCTGAAAAGATACTCATTGTGAGTTTCCCACTTTTCTTAAGTTTACTTTGTCTAGTCATTTTGACCATTGCTCTAACAGAAGTGGCATTTCATTCTGTCATAGTGTAGTAAAATGGAGAAAGGTTCTGATCTCTTTAAATTCTTTGCACCTGATTCAATGGCAAGCAGCTTTTATGTTTCATTAATAAATCAGAAATCAAACATACTTTTCTCCATCATTTCAATTAGGGAAGGTGACACCTTCCATTGTATATTGTCAGATCCTGTATTGTGCACCACGTCAACAATATCTGGAACTGTCTGTGAGCCACTGGAAGTCTCTCAATTTTTGCCTTAACCTGAGCAGTCTAAAAGCTTTGCTCTCCAATATCATTTACTTAATGGGAAAAGAAGATGGTAGGAAAAAAGGGAAGGGGAAGCCTGGGAAATTAGGGCCCTTACATAAGATCCCAACTTAACACAATTGGCTTTGTTTTTATAGATCTGTGTTTTAATCCTTTCCTCCTTTTGCATTCTGTCAAAGGGCAATGTTTTTCTAAGGGAATCCAGAGTGTCTAAATATTTTAACTGTGTTTGGTGATGGGAGAGTGGATGAAGCTGATACTATTTTGTCATGAGGCTTATTGTATTTGACAGGTATAAATATGAAAAATATTCAAGTAGGTTAAGTATTAAAATGAGGCTGAACCAGCTACTCTTTCCAGAATATCTAAGCATCTTTGTTAGCTTTTGTAATTACCATAATAATTTTTACAGGAAGTTAATTTTTGTGCTCCAATTAGTTTTTGTTTTCTTATTGACTGTTTTTTCCTCTCTGTTTTCTTATCATTCCCACTCTGTAGTACCTGGTTATGGATTACTATGTTGGAGGAGACCTGCTTACGTTGCTCAGCAAGTTTGAGGACAGACTACCTGAAGACATGGCTCGTTTTTATTTGGCTGAAATGGTGATAGCTATTGATTCAGTTCATCAGTTGCATTATGTTCACAGGTAAGTAATTTGAGACCCAAATTCCTGTTGGAGTTATGGGGAGTTACTTAATGGAGTGAAAATTATTCCTGTTAAAGAGTTTAAGCTAGTGACCAAGTGTTTGCCGTGATGTTAAGCACGATAGAACTGACCTGCCTACAGCTTGTGTCTGTTGAGAACTGTTGCTAACCTTGTACCATATGGTCAGAGACAGGAATGAGGAGATTTCATGAATATCTGAATGTGTGTGATGAATCCTGCATGCTGGCATATTGCAAAGTTAATGATCCGTAATTTATAAAAGAAAAACTGGAAACCCAATTGTGACATACTATTGATAGATTTATTGAAGGGTCCGATTCTGTTTTCTTAGTTAATTTGATAAATCTATATGGCAGTTGAAAACACAGCATTGTGTGGTCTGCTTTGGGTTTTTTTCACCATTTTCTTTTGGACTTAATGAAATTATCTTTAAAATGAATTGATGGCATTTTGCTAAACAAGTGGAAGCACTTAAATTGTGGTACTTATCGTTACCTTTGCATATAAAATATATTCTGTTCAAAAGAAAATATTAAGTCATTTGTGTCTAGCTTTTTTGGAGGCCATGATTGATTTTTCCATAAAACTAGCATCATCTTTTCTTTAATGTATCATTCTTTACTGAATTCCATGGTAGTTCTTGTATACATAGGGAAAAATCACCTCACAAGGGGCAGAATTTTCAAATGCATTCTGTAGATCTATTTTGCTCAGACAGAAATCAGGAGGAAAATTCCCAGCTCTTTAAGCTGAATCATTAAGTTGGCAGAATGAGCTCACTTTATATGTCCATCTATTGCCCTTAATCAGAGTCCATACTGGCTGTTCCTTCTTTTACTGTTCCCACTTGGCTGCTTTGCTTCAGAAAAGGTTGGTTGTTTTTTTTTTTGTCCAAAAGGTGTATTGCCATGGGTTTTGGTTTGTTACTGGGTTGTGTTTTGTGTCCTTTGGGATTCTGGCTTTTTGTGAAAGAGCTGTAACTAGGAGTGCTTTAAAGTGGGGTGGTAATAAGCTGCAAATCACTCTTCTGGAATATTCTGAAGTCTGCTAGTTTTATTGAAGAACTGTGTCGACCTGCTAACTATACATTCCCAGTCCTTTGTTGTTTGATTTGTGGCTTTGCCAGTGAGGTTCCCATGTTTATAAAGTTTTAAATGCCACTTGAGCATTTTATCATTAATACTGCTTGTAATACAGTGCCTGTTTACAATGGGGTCTTTTCCAAAGATTGAAAATGTAAGGAGCACTTGAGTATTTGTTATAGGATCAGCCTTTGAAATGAGACCGGTTCCACTGTTAGTTTTATTAGGATGTTTGCAACTGGTAAAGCAAAATAAAGTAAAGGAAAACACGTAATGTAACTGCCACTAATGCTTATTTTCTGAAAGTTTAACTGTGGTGGCCACATCCTTTTTGAGAGTGTGTTGCATACAGCAGAGGACATAGGAAAAGAAGAAGGTAAATAATACTGAAAAATGGATGATGTAACAGCTGTGGCAGTGGTGTTTCAGATGAATAGCCAGTATGCATCAGGATTTAATCCGAGTTGTAGCTAGTGAACTAGAAATCATGCTTTTAGGCATGTTTTATTGAAGGTTTTTTCATACAATGAGATAGCAGATTGTTTTGGTTTGTTTCCTTTTAGTGCCCCAGTTCTTTCATGATAGATTTTCACATTAACCATACATAGTGTTCTAATTCAAGGATAATTTTGTTTTTCTCTGAATGTTCTTGTGCCTTTTAAAAAATTATATTTCTGTTTTTTTCCTCAATGTGCCACTCCTATTGCTCTTTTCTGTCTTTAATCACTTTTCTGTTGTCAGGTAGTTTTGTTTGGGAGTGATACTGCTTGCATTAGTAGTTTGTGTGCAGACCACTCCGATGTCAAATGAAAGTCACTTTTCTTTCCTAAAGGACATTGACTGAGGTTCTCAAACATCAAACACAAGCAACCTCAACGTTACTTAAATGAAATTTCTATGAATGCATTTCAGATTTTGAAGTTCCAAACTGGAATGCCATTTCTGCAGTAGCACTGTGGGATTATGGGATGAATTTATAGTGGGAAGAAGAAAAAAATCTAGGTATTAGTAGAATTGTACAGACAAATTGCATGATGTTTTCGAAGCTGAGTCCTGATACCTGCTGAATTAAAGAAGGAGAAAAATTGCTAACTGAAAATAACATCAGTACTATTGTTTTTAGGATATTCTTGTTTTTCCTATTTTTATCCACTTTTTAGTTTAAGTAAATATGTGATAGAATGTTTTTGACATAACATCAATCAGAACATAAAATTTTGTTCATTTTTCATTTCTAATAAATTAATTTCTGTGGATAAATAATGTGGTATTTTACCTGGTAGTTAAATGATGGGTTAGAATGTTAATAAAATGGCCTTTTCTTTAATGTTTATCTTAGTTTTTGCTATTGATATAAATGCACCAGCACTGGCATTAACAAATGACATTCTAAAGCTAGTCTTGGAGCTGTCAAATAAAACTTAATTTAAGTTAAGTATATGTGCAGGTGTTCACAATGAGGAAGAAAGCATGTATGTATATCTCACAAATGTGCGACTTCCTTTGGAGTTTCTGTAAAGCTTACACCTGCCCCTGATACCTTAAATTACTAATTTGTACTAATGAATTGATGCTTGCTTGTAGGCCAAGGTTAAATATTGTCTTGTGCCAGTTTTCTACAAACTGTAGTATCATACAGGGTAAGATTTTATGTTTATTAGGAGTCAACATCACTATGTGTTTTATAGATTTGTAGCAATTTTTTTTTTCTGAAAAAAGCTTCTACATGTATTAATACTAATTTAAGTTTCAAGGTTATGTTGTTACTTAATTTCTCATGGCATATGTTAAAAGCTTGTATTTGCATGCGTTGTCAAATATCCAGGTGTGGGCTGGAATACAACTCTTGGCTTAAGCTAGGTAGCTACACTTTATTTATGCATGTTGCATTACTTCAAGCATGTAAAATGTGTTTTTCCTACGGGTGAGACTCTAACTCCTTAATTATTTTATTGGAGAGCCAGGTTTTCTCTCCTTTTTACGCAAGGTGCAAATTGAGCTGTAAAATTCTTGGTTTGTCTAAATCCTTTTAAGTAAAAAAGCCTTTAGAAGGCCTGGTTGCCACGGGAAGAAGTTTCCCGTGACCATTGCAGAAGATATCCTCTGGGCACACATTAGTCCCAGGAACAGTGAGTGTGCCAGTGGTGGCTTTGCATGCCCCTTCAGTGTGTCTGTGCTGCTGCCTTTTGTGCTGTCTTCTGAGACAGCCCTTACCTTAGTAAGGGTGCATGTAAGTCGATCCTAAATCTCATTTGAGCCATTCCAGCTTCTCAAATAGTGCAGAATTGGTGTGCTTAAGTCGTTTTCATCGTTTTCATCGTGACTTTCGTTCCTCCATCTATTTGTTCTGTGCAGGGTTGCGCAGTGATTCAGTCAGTGCAGAGTGAATTTGCAGCTAGGGAGTGTCCAACATTTAGGCTCGTGATCCTCCAGACCACTGCAAAAATATTCGTTTAAAATAGTTTTCATATATTGGCACACACCCACGTTAAACAGTCTTCTTTTTCTATTGAATGGTAAAACAATCCTCACTTACCTTCTTACTAAGAAAATATTTTGGAAGGATTATGAAACACCTATGTTAATAATTATTTTTGTTGGTTAAGTTTATGGGAGGATAGTTAAGACTACAGGGCAAGCTCTCAAGTTATATACATTTCAGATGTCATCTTTTGCATGTGAAAAGATAGGCATGCAAAGCATAAACGCACCTACTTCCATAAGGTATGCAAGACTACAGTTAGCTTGATCAGTGCGTTTCTGGATTTCTAGTTGCCACTGTCTTTTAGTCTGAAGGATTTTAGCATTCTAAACCACCAGATGCTTTTTGTTTTTTTTCTTCTCTTTCCATTTTCTTTATCAACTTCTGAAATTTAAGTTGGGCTTCATTGGAACATTTGAGCTCTTAAAATGTAGAGCAGCAGAATTCTCTGTGGAAGTGACATCCTTTCTGAGAAATACTGAGCATAAGGGAATAAATACATTAGAGGAATAAAAGAAAGAACTGTCTATTCCCTATCAAGCCAGCCTCTTCTTTGCTTTTAATAGGAAGGTATTATTTTTTCTCAGTAAAAATAATCTTAGGGACATCCCTGATATATTTACTGTAGTAAAGCAGGCAGCTGAAATCTGGGATTCTTTGTAGAATGCATTTCACTTTCAACTGTAAGTTTCAGTGCCAGTGTATCCATTTTTGACTTGCTGAATAAGTAGTTTTCTGTCTTCTGGGTGTATCCCATCTTTCCTGATCATTAATTTGCTTAAGTGGAAAATTTGGGGGTGGAAGGCACATCCTAGGGAGTCAGCTGCATTGCGCAGTGTGTCTGAGTTGAGTTGGCACAAGGATGAGCCAAGTGCTCTGGCCTTTGGTAAAGTGAACTGTAATTGTGGGTTTGAAAGAAAGCAACAACATATTTTAAATGTTTACCAAACTTTGCAAGAGACATAATGTCAAACGCACACAAGAAGATGTCCTTACAAAGTGCTGAGAGTGAAGGAAACAGGGCTAGAAAAATAAGGAAAAAAAAGCATAAGGTTATTTTGATAGTCTACTGAAAATGTATTGCTTTGAAATGTTGCATGGTTTAGTTTTACATGGAAAAGTGCAGGACAGAAAGTTATTTTAGTGAGTATTTGGTAAGCAAGTGCTTCCTTAAAAGGTATTCCTTTACGGAGGTAGGAGAGCTCTGTGAGTCTACGTTCTGTGTTTCCTCTCCATTTTTCCACTGAGGAAGGGCTGGAAACAAAGGTTATCTTTACAAACTCGGGGCTTTCATTTTGCCCTGTGACCCTATATGCTATAAACACTGGCAGCTGCTACCATAGTACCCCCTCAGGGTGACATTTGATTTGCAGTGAGGACCATAGGAGGTTAATGCTATTTGACTAGAATTTGTT